TTCCAACTCGCTACTCGGCACCTAATTGACTTCCTCCTGCGGCTTATGTCCAACGTTGCTTGGCGCGGGCCTTGCCTTCTTGACCTAGGTGGCGTTTTGACAGTATTTCGCGATATGACCTAGCTCTCCGCAGCGATAGCAGTCGGGCGGAGGTCGTCGTGGCTTGCCTCTAGCTTCTCGCGCTTAATTAACCTTCGAAGGCTCCTAGTCTATAACGTCTGGACTAGCTTCGTGTTGAGCGGTTGTTGTAGTAGGGCGATCTACCACCTGGGAGCTTGTTGCGCGCAGTTTAACGAGACCTACCTAGTAGAGGTTGTTGGACGTTCTTACTGCCTTATTGACTAGCTGCTCGTACGATAGATTCTTATTAATCGTAGCAAGAGCCTCCTGCAGCTTAGTGTGAAGGCCCTTTAAGAACATACTCTTCTTAGCTGCTTCGCTAAACTGCTCGCCTAACTAAATCTTAAGACAGTTAAACTCCATGTGATAGTCTCTTACTAAGAGCTTGCCTTGTTTAAGAGTTAAAAGGCGATTGAGTGCTTTAGACTTCTAGTGTGGGTCGTTAAACTGCTGGTCCATAAAGCTCCAGAGGTCTTCAATGTGGCGTTTACTCTAGTTCTGTATTGCCCAGGGTAGAAGTACATCTGCTGCCTTGCCTATACACCTACTAACCACGTACTTGATCTAAGCGAGGCTCGAAGTTCCTTCGTACTAGTGCTAGAGCTTAGCTTAAGTCTTATATTTAAACGCTACGTACTTTGTTTAATCTCCATTAAATAGTTCTAGGTGCGGGAACTTGTTCCTGCGCGCAGCTGGCTCGGCGATTGCGGCTGCTGCTAGGGGAGGCGTAAAGGCTCTATAGGACGACTCTAAACGCCCCTCAGCTTGGTTACGCTCGAGTGCCACGAGCCGTTCCGTTAGCACCTGGTTCTGGGCTGTTAACCGATTCATCAGCTCCATCATCTGGGCCATGGCATCCTGGTTGGCCTTCGGCGAGCCTCCTTGCCTTGGTGAGCCCTTTCCTCCCACGACGGCCGATCGTTTGGCGACCGCTTCAATCGTTGGCCTAATTGCTACCTCCTTCCATCCGTCCTCTCTAAGCATTTGTGTAATTTCGCGCAGGATCTCTTCATCTAATACTCCTGCCTGGTTCTTAGCAGCAGCGTACGCCGCCAGCTCTTCCACATTCAAGTTTGGAACGTTAATCTCCATTGCCTAATTCGTTTTGGACGTCTCGTTCTTTGCCTGCTAATATGCAGGGCTTCTAGTCGCTCTTCAATCCGCTCGCGCAGTCCTTAACTGCGGCCTACTCCTTGTTAGTAAGGACTAGTAGGGCTTACCTTTGGCTGTACTTCTCTTCTAGCTGGTTCTAAACAGCGTTTAGCTGCTGTTGTGTCGCGTCCCTAGGAAGACTTGCGTCTTGCTGTCTCGCTCGTGGGATCTTGTCTCTAATTAAGAGTAATCGCACGGCCTGCACCCTGTCTAATAGAGGATTGATAGGACTTCTCACTACAACGTCCGCTTCTAGCTAACTGTACGCTAGGCCCGAGTGGCCTTTAGGTAGTTTATCACGCGACGTTGCGCCTACGGCTTGGCTTTCCAAGACACGGTAGGACTTCCTAGATAGGTCCTGGGCGACTAAATTGCCTACTGTCTCTCACGGCTGAACTTCCTGCGAAGCTCTGCCCTAGGTGTACTGTCTTGCGACAGTCTACCTTCTCGCTGCACTAAAGGCCTTTTGTACCTATTGCAGCACTAACTCTATGTTACTAGCTCACACTAACAATACGCTCTAAAACTTAGTTAGAAGATAGTCTGCCTAAGGCTTATATCTAATTAGGATTAAATACAAAATGTAAGGGGCTGCGCTCTAGGGAGCAATGGCGAGGTATACAAGAGGTTGTATTTAATAAGGAGCTATCTACTCTGCTTACGTGGTGTTTATTTACTTATTAGAGAAAGGTTATGCTAGAGTATCTAAGCGCGTTGTCTGAGCGCTGCTCGGTCTGAACGTAGTTCAGATGGTGCGCGCGCAGCTTGGCCCGAGATTCCATCGAGGAGCTATCCAAAGGGCGTTCAGCCCGTTACAAGTTCTTATACTTTAAAAAGTGATAAAGGCTATATATAATAAGTACAAGTATAAGAAGAGTAGGTAGACTATTATAAATAATATTAGATGTTTATATATTATTATACACTATAAAAAGTAGTATATACTACTTTATATATATTATAACGTATTCCACCACCGAGAGTGCCACCCCACCGAGTGTGCCACTTTTTCTTGGCATCGCGAACATCACATATGAAAACTTGAATTACTCTACACTAGCTATAGATGCTTCGTACGACTCACTTGCATCTAACATAGAATCTTCTTCTACATCTTTTTGGCACGTACGGGCGTTATGGCCCACTCTCCCACAGATTCCACAGTGCCGTTGACCTGGCTGGGCCTTTTCTTGACTACCCCCACCACGCGCTTTCTTTGATATTATACGACTAGTAGAAGCACTTTCAGCTGCCTGCGATGCTCCTGCACCAAATTCTAGTGTCCCGCCTGTCTGAATCCGCTTTCTTTACGCCCTCGGCGCTTTGTTACCTCTGCTAGTTG